ATGTCACCAATTTATATTTTCTTTACTCATCTGGAATAGCTATATTCTAGCTGTTGTGCTATAAAAAGTACCAGGTAAGATGCAAAGACTATTATTTACCAGTCCCTAAAATTCTTTGTTGACTGGTAGCTACTTGCTGTATTTGATTATTTTTAACAAAGACATGCATAATTGTCAGTAATGATCCCTTTAATTAACGTGGCATGTGTACCTTGGTGCTGTTGCTCTGTTTGCAACTCCTCCTCAGAAATGATTTTTTTATTTAAAATAATCTTTTCTAAGTCCTAGGCTAGAGTTTATTATTTTAAAAATTGAGAAAATTTGTTCAACATATCCTGAGCTATGCAAGAGTAATAAAAATACATTTTCCACATTTACTAACTAGAACTGTGCTAGCAAAAGTTCCTGAAATTAGAAACTTCAAACTGTGCTTCTTTGTTAATCTTCAGTGAGCCTTAAAAGAATCTCAGTTTGAAGACAATTGATGCAGTATATTAAAATTGTGAAAGCTTGAAATCAATAGTTTTCTACATGCACATTACAAAATGAGAAACATCCCAGCTTCTTCCTCAGTGCAGAACCCACCCCGAAGTTAAGGGGGAAAATACTGAATAGAAAACTCCTTAGGGAAACGTTTTTTTAAGGAATACTGGTTTGGCCTAACATATGTTTAAGACTGCATAAGCACCATGGGGACGTGAGGCATGCCAGGAGAATCTCTTCTACTAGACAGACCTTCAGTCTTGCTCTCTGCTTCAGGGGAATAGTAGTGAAAATGTGCAAAGATTACTGCCATTGATCCACTTCTCTGCTTTGGTTTGCTCTCCAGATGAGAACTGGGAAACTAATTTAGCTTTACTGAGGACATCAGAAGGGGAAAATTAAGCCTACAAAAGTTAATGCATTCTTCAAGCTCAGGCCAAAATGACTTTAGTGTCCCCGTGGTGATTTACAACCACAAAGACTCTGGCTCTTGAATGTACAGTTGACCTTTAACAGCTTAATAGTCTCTGCACCTTGAGATTGAAGGTAGGAATAACATAAAAGCCACTGATTTTGTGTCTTTCTAGATTAAAACAGGAAGGGAAATAATGTTGGAAGGCAGTATCATGAGCTCAGGCTCAGGATGGAGGATTTGTGTGCTTATTTATTTATTTTCAGAAACTTCTGAAATGTTCCTCTCAGCATCCAAGAAGCAAAGGGGCTACAAAGTCATCAAGATACTCCCTTTGGGAGTCCCTTGCTTTAAAGTTTCCACTACAAACAAGTAAACAAAGCGGTGTAGCAGTCAACCAGCATGAAACAGCTGCCTTGGCTGGAACAGTTATCACAGTGTTTTTACTGTAAACATCTGAACAACTTCCCTGCTAGTGAAATAGAAATAAGAGTAGAAAAAGGGCAAAGAGCCATCCCCATGTAGAGAGGATAAATTAATTTTCAGTTATTAGCTGAACATTTCACATATATTTTATTTAGTTCCTTGTTGTGCAAGTTTCAAATTTCAGGTATCTAACAGAGGCAAACAGGATCTAGAAACTTGGAGGGGTCAAATCTTAAACACCTATACTTTATACAGAATATTATCGGTGTATGGCCTCTATGTAAATAATGTCCATAAAGGTCAAAGTCTAAAAAACTATAAAACTGGATTCTGTGGCCTGTCAGCATTTGCTTATATTTAACTGTTAACTTGTGTTGTAATTAGCATAATGAATTCCAGAGTATTCATGATCATTACTTGCTTTCTGCATTTGGGATTAAATTCAACCAATTTATTCTAAAGAATTAGCTAATCTTGTGGTGGAAAGCGATGAAATCTATAGCATGTATTTCACAGATGTTTCATGGCAGTCAGTGGGCTCGTGAGTTTATCTTCTAGAGAATTCCCCCTAAATCAGCATCTGCCTCTTATTTCCTTTATGTTCTGCCTTCTTCAGTTTTTTTCTTCTCTTGCACAGTATAAATAGTTTTAAAACAGTAATGTTGAGACACTTTTCCTCTTGCTATTAATGCCATTTACTTCCACATAATAACCGTCTTTTGCTCAGATTACTTTATTTTCCCCGAATGGTCTGAAAGTCCTTTGGAAACAAAATACTTTGACTGAAAAAGTAATATTGGCACATAATGGATCAATTAGGAAGGCATGTGGCACAGAAAAGTGAAACAAATCCTCACCATTTTTGTAATAGTAGAGAATATTCTGATAATTAGAGGTTGGTATTTCTTTGAAACATTTCTATAGTTGAAACATTTTTACGTAAAATTGATTATTTTGCAGATCTCTTTTTACATATATGAACATAAAGATGCACGTCTATTTGGATGTGTGCATATATGTATATTCAGAAGCATAGTTATGCCATAAATAGCATAGACACACGCATATGGGAAACACACCAAAGTCTCATGAAAAAAGACAGCAGCAGAGAATTGAAGCAGGACCCCTGTATGTGCCTTGTAGCCAGCATATTGAACAACTTACCCAGGGGACTGCTGAAATAAAATGCATTGCTGTATGCCAGATAATTTCCCAAGAAGAATATGTATAACTGAGGCGAATTCCTGATATTTTTTGGTTGGTCAGATTTGTCAGATTAACAGCGTAGGAATTTCATGCTTGGATATATAATTGAAAAACCCTCGCTGGGGAAGCCACGTGTTGTTTATGAATTCTTTATGAGAATTAACTTTATGAGAATTAACTTTTTATATGGATATCATACTTTCTGCATAGGCTTTGTCAAGAGGCATGTTGTTTTGCAATGTGTTGCAAATTCTGTTGCCTGTTCTCCACCAGGAGAAGGGTGGAAGGATCTTTATTACAACAATATGGCTTTTTTAGAGAAAACTCTGACTTCCATCAAAATTGATTTATCTGGGGAGAAACTGTCTGGCTGGGATTGGGGGTTGATGTCAAGATAGAGGAGACTGTCAAGGATTAGAAAAGCAGAAGCTATTTACTAAAGTAGCCAGGTGGGGGCAAGGACTTTTTCAGTTGGATCATGGAATCGTAGAATGGTTAGAGTTGGAAGGCACTGTAAAGATCATCCAGTTCCAACCCTCTGCCATGGGCAAGGACGCCTCCCACTAGATCAGGTTGCTCAAAGCCCCATCCAGGCTGGTCTTGAGGACTCTCAAAGATGGAGTGAACTGAAGTATGGGGCACTGCCATTGGTCAGCCTGGTTTCATTATTCTAGCTTACCTGTTTTAAAAGAAGAATATTATACTTGAATCACGGCAAAGATGTGGATATTTGTGTGTGCATGATGTTTCTTTTACAAAAGCAAAGTGCAGATCCCAGAAACCCATAATTTTGAGCGTAGCTTTAACTACTGCAGTATCTCCTGGGCAAGCACCAGCTTGTGAGTGTGGGGACAATTGGAAGGCAGGGCTCCAGATCCACAAACTGGTGATGGGAACAATGCTCTGAGACAGCGCCAGAGAGACAAAGAAAAGCAGCAGCATTGCAGCTTACGGGGTACAGGCTAGCTTAAAGCAGAGGAGTGCAACACCCAGAGCTTCTGCAATAAATTAGTTAGAATACAGCTTCTGGTTCTGTGGAAGTAAATTCAAGAACAAAATGGGAGTTACACAATTATTACAGATTGGCAGGCATGAAAGACATCTATGGTGCCTTCTAAGATCTTGGCCAGGAAGACATCATATAAAAGCAGACTTTAAGTTATTTATGGACAGGCAGAGCCTAATGTTTTTAATTTTCTAGATAGCTCAGGAGGCCCATCAGATTGGCAGCACTAGCAGAATGTGTCAGGAAGTCCCAACTCCTACTACCACAAATTAATAAGAAAGTGTTTTGGGGGAAGATTCACAGTGTTGGTGGACCTCGCTGTTCTATTCATGACTGAGAGCTTAATCTGTTCTCACACTCTTCTTTGGTTTACAGTGTGCTGTTACGTTTTATTCTTTAGTTTCAAACTGGTATAGACGGATTTGATTTTTGACACTTACTACTGCCCACACTGAATTGATTTTCTAATCATATGGAGGCCATATGTATTCTTTGCACATAGATTGTATGGCACTGCAGAATTTATTATCCTATCCCTTAAATGTACTGCTGTTACATCCTTGAAGTCCAGCATATTTATATGCTGTAGATATGTTTACCACTAGCAAATTATGAGGCACTGTAAAAATTGTGTTTATCCACGTAATCTTCTATAATCATTGTTAAATGGAGACATGTAAAAGCTTTCTGTGGAGGAAAAAAACATACCTCAAAATATCTGTGCTCCTGTGTATATATAGATATTTTGACTAGCTCAGTTCATGGATGGAAATATTTGATGGAAGTTAGGCAAGGACAGAAAACGACTGCTGAACACGAGATCCAGTGGTGAAATTATCGCTTCCTTTTGAGTGATCGCCCATAAACCTCTTTCACTGGAACTGCCTATGAGTCTTACTCGGGTGATAAATGCTGGAGCATGGGACTGTGGGTGTTCCATCATGTGCATGCCAGTGACTGACTCGGTTGCTATAATATTAGTAATATCTGTGCTCAGTCATAGCCCACATGCCGATCGGATGATGGATACCAGGGAGGTCTCTGAGTTTGACTGCTGGCTTTAAAATAGTGGTGCCCAAATAATGGTTCACAGGCAGCACGTTGCCTCTGAGACCCTTTGGCATTGCTCACAGCTACAAGGAAATTAAAATGTTATAGATGAAGGTGGGAAGTGTGTGATGCTGCTGTGTCATGTTTCTTGTTCAGTGTTGCAGCCCAATGGCCAAAGGAGGGAGGGGAAGGACCTCTCTTAAACCCTTGTGAAGTGAAACAGATGCCGTTCTCCTGTTTCAGCATATTTAATAATATGACCTTGTTAGTTTTTTGACATGGGCACTTCCAAATATTTCCAGGGAAAATTGCTGCATGCATAGGATTGTTTTTTGTCACAGTGGGTGCCCATGCATAAGGGCCTGAGGGTCTCTTTCTTTCCACCCCACCTGATGCCTATCTCCTCCCTGCCCCCAGGTACCAGATACACACCGGCCTCCAGCACTCCATTATACGGCCAACCCAGCCCAACTGCTTACCTCTGGATAACGTCACGCTACCTCAGAAGCTGAAGGAGGTTGGTTACTCCACGCACATGGTTGGCAAGTGGCACTTGGGGTTTTACCGCAGAGAATGCATGCCCACACAGAGAGGGTTTGACACTTTCTTCGGCTCACTCTTGGGCAGCGGAGACTATTACACTCACTTCAAATGCGACAGCCCTGGGATATGTGGGTACGACCTGTACGAGAATGACAACGCAGCTTGGGATCATGACAACGGCATCTACTCCACACAGATGTACACACAAAAAGTACAACAAATCTTAGCTTCACATAACCCCAGGAAACCTATATTCCTATATATCGCTTACCAAGCTGTTCATTCCCCTCTTCAGGCACCAGGCAAGTATTTTGAACATTATCGATCGATCAATAACATCAACAGGCGAAGGTACGCTGCGATGCTAGCATGTTTGGATGAAGCCATAAACAACGTGACCCTTGCTTTAAAGAAGTATGGTTACTATGAGAACAGCATTATCATATATTCTTCAGATAATGGTGGGCAGCCAATGGCAGGAGGAAGTAACTGGCCTCTCCGAGGAAGCAAAGGGACCTATTGGGAAGGAGGCATCCGCGCTGTTGGGTTTGTCCATAGCCCCCTTCTGAAAAACAAAGGGTCTGTGTGTAAGGAGCTTGTGCACATCACGGATTGGTTCCCCACTTTGATCACCCTGGCAGAAGGGCAGATCGATGAAGATATCCAGCTGGATGGCTATGATATATGGGAAACCATTAGCGAAGGCAGACGTTCTCCACGGGTGGACATCTTACACAACATCGACCCGATTTACACCAAAGCCAAAAATGGGTCCTGGGCAGCTGGCTATGGGATCTGGAACACCGCGATTCAGTCTGCCATCAGAGTGAATCATTGGAAACTACTGACGGGAAATCCGGGATACAGCGACTGGGTACCTCCACAGGCCTTCAGTAACGCGGGCCCCAACCGCTGGCACAATGAACGTGTCTCCTGGTCAGCTGGCAAAACAGTGTGGCTTTTCAACATCACTGCTGACCCGTATGAGCGAGTGGACCTCTCCTCAAGGTATCCGGATGTAGTGAAGCAGTTGCTGCGGAGGCTGTCACAGTTCAATAAGACTGCGGTTCCCGTTCGATACCCACCTAAGGACCCTCGGAGCAACCCGAAGCTGAATGGAGGAGTCTGGGGTCCATGGTTTAAGGAGGATGAAAAGAAAAAGAAATCAGATAAAAGTAAAGGTACCAATAAGCAAAAGAAGAATAAGAACAAGAAAAAAGCAAATCGGAAAAAAGGGCAATCGTTACATTGCCGTTCACGTCTTGCTGGTGGATAGACCCTAAGCACACTTTTTTTCCAGGTCAGCTTGGCCCAACTTTCTTGAAATTCTGACAGCATATACTAGAAATGCTAGCTCTGCACTATGGATGAAAGTTGTCATCTTTTAATTTTTTTCTCTGATTTCACCAGCACAAGGTATCTCAACACTCTGCCTTGAGTGTACGTAAGTTTCCACATGACAAACTCTCTCCTCTACAGGATGAATGGTGCTCACCCATCACAGCTACATTCCATATAATAATGGCGATAACACCTAATTTCAGTAAACTTATTTTTGATAGACAAATGGTGATTCTTTGCCTAAATTAGTTGGAATATTTGGAGAGTATGGAGATGTGAATGACAGATGTTCTCAAACTGACTGATGATTCATAGAGAGGAAGGAGAAACAAAACTTGAGAACCTCTGTGGGTCAGAAAGTGTTAGTCACCAACCTATGACATTTTTTGACACAACACAGCAAAAACCAGCCACCAGAGTAACTTTTTAGAGGTGCTGGGGAGGGATGCGTGATAGGAGGAAAGCTGCTTTGAATTAGATTTTGTTTGCCTTACGTAAATCAGAAATGTTTTTAAAATTTCCTAGATGTGCTAAGCTCCCCCCATTTCCAGTAAAACCAGAAGGTTGTTATTCAACACACATGAACAGCTAGCACACGCCATGCATAATTTATTATAGGCATAGACAAAAATCACACCACCAAAGTGAATGTAATATTTAAACACTTTAAGATAACTATACAACAATGTGTAAAATACATAATTTATTTTACAGCACAATACTTAATTCTCTTCCATTAAAACTTCCATTACTGGGTGATGCAAGGTACCTGTTTGGGTGCTAGGGTTGTTGGGGTTTTTTTCTTTTGATTTTTAAATTTTATTTCCATTCTATCATTCAGAGTTTTATTTAACAGATCCATATCCTCAGAGTACTGTAAAGCAAGAAAATACTGTATACACTGCTAGGATGAGAAAGGAGAATTATTCAGGTGCATCATTTCATTATGTATTTGCCTCCAATTATTTTGAATGTAACAAAGTGATTATTTAATTTAGTAGTCACGTGAATATTTTTCAGTTTCTGTACAGAAGCTAGGCCATCTTTATGTTTGGGGGGAAAATTCTACTTTAAGCCTTTTATTTATGTATCTATTAAAATAGTTTATTTTTATGGCATTCATAAAAGTAGTCTGCCTCTTTTTTGCATTGAAGATAGCAATTCTGTCCTTGTTTATTTTAAATTAACTCAGTAAGCTTTTTTTATTGCTATTATTTTTGGTGCAGGGAGGATTTTATGACATTTCGCTTCTGAAATAGAATTTCTTCTTCCAATATGTATATAATTTGAGACATGGTTCAAACTTTGCCCTTTTCCAAGGTGTCTGCATGAATGATTTATGGATGTACTGACTGCATATTCTTGATGATCTGTGATAATTGATACAATACATACACACACATAGTTTAAGATGAATTATATTAAGTTAAATTGATGATTCATTTGTTAAATAGCTATAACATATTTTTAAAATTCAAAATAAGCATGCTTTTCAATTACATCTCACTTGACTCAGAAATCACATTTATATAAATGGATTACAGTTGAAAAATTAAACATTCATAAAATCAGTGCACACTAAAATATGAATCATTTCCAGTGCTCCAACACCCCTTGACCTTTTTTGAAAAGAAACTAACTGCAGACATATACTGCCAAAACCTAGTAAATTGCATATTTACAGCTACAAAGTAGAAGAAAGCCATCGTTAATGAACACTTAGAAACAAGTGAGTCATATTTTAGAGTTACTTTTATTATGAATATACTGGGAAAACGACAGAAATGGAATTCTTGAATAGTTACCTACAAATAATAATTATAAAAGGATGATGTGTATCTGCATAAGTGTTTAATATTGTCACTATTATTTTTCATATTGTATGGTCTTTATGGGGACTAATTAATTTTCTTAGAAATCTGACTAGACTTACTTAAGATCCAGATTATTCAATGAGTAATCAGGAACTCACATGTTCTCTAGTTTCTCACTTTTTTTTTTTAAATGTACCATTGATGTCCTTAAAAGAGATGATAATAACATCTTGAGATATTTATACTCCAAAATGTGATGTATAAAATTCATGTCTTTGAGAAAATACACATCATTTTTGTCTTTGAGGAAAAAGTGAGAGTTTTTAAGTTAGTCAGGGTCAGCTATCAATGCAAATTGTACAAATGTAGAAGCGATGACTTTTTATGATTTACCTTTCCTAGTTTGGGAAAGAATCTACATTTCAGCAATAAACATTATGAGAGAAGTAAAGGAAACAGGAACTGATTTTGAAACAGTATACTGTCTAGTTCACAACTTAACACATAAATCACAATGTTTGTGTTTGAAATGCCCCTGTGTTGCACACTGAGTTCAGCGTTAGAAGAGAATAGTAATGTTTCTGACTTTTCAAGGTCATTTAACAAAGGCCAAATTAGATGTTCAAGATAAATTATACAGAAAGAAGGCCTAAGATATTTTAATTTATTTTGGCATAATAGAAACAAGGCACTGTAATAGTATTATCCTCATAGAATCAATGCTCGCCCTTTTCCATGAAAGTTTTATGATTTCTTTGCCTTTTATTGGACTGAAATGATCAGAGAGCATTATTCTCTGACAACATTTTGTTCTATAATTATTTATATCTGTTCTCTCACAGGCAAAATGGGAGTCCTTGAAAGTAATTGGTGCAAAGCTGAACAGTGGATCAGTTCTTGCATGCCTCTATGTTAAATAAATGTGCCACAAGCGTAAGTGTTTGTATGGTACACAATGGGAGTATGTTTTCTAAGGCTGCACTGGCTCTTAGGCTGATTCCCATGAAATTGATACTCTGGTCTGGTATGGGGCAAAAGTTAGATTTACAGGGAGTCAGGAAATATCCATAATTTGGAAGCCTTCCTGAATCTTTAGGTGAAAAGATCCTGATGTGAAAATACAGTGTTACAGTTTTCCTGTCTGCTCTCACTTCATACTTCTTTTTTCACTCCAGCAATACAATGGTCTCTAGTTTTTAGTGATGCCGTATAGCTCTCAAACTTGACTTTCTGTTTACAGAGTTGTAAGTAGTTCATACACTCTCACAGCAGGATTTCACAGGTTATTTATGTCTCAGAATGTGTTACGTGCCCAGTCTCAGGGAAGGTATGATAGGTAAACACTGCAAACAGTTCAAAAACGGCTACTAGCCTTACTGAAAACACAGACTCCTATGCTCTTGAAGGAAAACCCACAGCCCTCCTAATTGCTGGGCAACATATTACCCAGGCCAATGGATTTGTGCAAAGGCACTCTTGAAAAACAATTGGTATTTGGTCTAAGTCAGTAACTGGTCTCTCTCAACCCACATTCTTAAGAGATGTACAAAAAGGCTGGGGGGGGCCAGGGAGAGCAAAGGCGGGGAGGATTTACTTATTATTTTTAAGTTGTCTCAAGCTTTCTATTCTCCACATGCTATATGGGAACAAGAAAAAGACAGATCTGATAGTAACTCTCCGACGGGGTCTTAGTGCCATCCACACCTTCGGGAGGACCAGCCTGAGCAGGGAGACAATATTTTTTTTCCTTTTCCACGTATTGTTGATAGCTGTGATCCTGGATCATCATTTCTACGCAAAGACAACCTGAAGAATGAGAAGGGTAACTGCAGGGAAGAGAAAGAAAGAAAACTTGAGAGGGGGGGGAAGAAAAACCATCCAAGAACAAACCAGAGGCAAGAAAGCCTTGCCTTGTAGCCTGTGCTCTCTGAACATAGTATATTATGCTGAATTGCTTTTTAAAATCTTGTTAAGTGTGAAAAATGTTTGTATTGTCATTTTCAGGTTTTCTCAATTTGTACTCTAAAGCTCTTTGAATGACTTTTCTAATGGCTAGATAATTTTGTCTTGTTAACTTTTTATTATTGTTGCGTTCTTGTTATTTTGACATAAAGTTGGAGACAAAACAGTATCCTGGCTACAGATAAAGACCAGTGGAAGGAAGTGCCAAGGACGGTAAGTAAATCTAAAATGGCAGTCTTTATGTCTGGGTCATGTTGTAAGATGTGAGGGGAAAGTCCATGTGGTTGAGGAGCACAGTCATGGAATATGAGTTATCATAACTAATGGAGTCATTAGTGTCTGAAGACATCCAGAATGTTCCTCTGCCTGCTGGGATACGAGGCTTTTTGGAAAGTGAATTAGGCCATTAAACCCAGCAACTTTCTCCCTGGAAGTAATGGGTACTGATTGGATTTCAAGCTGATGAAAGAGCACTCGTGTTTCCATCTGTGCAGGATCATACATAATGGGTTATCTGAGGTATCGTCTAGACAACAGTGAAACTTGGGGTCTCATGCTCCCACTGCACAGAATGAGCTGCCTTTTCTGTCTCCGTGTTTTATGCATTGCACATTCAGCATCCGACACCCACACTTTTACACAGCCATCTACATTTTGAAAGTTGCCTTTTGTAAAGAGCATTATCTTTCTGCAACAGAAAGTGAGACGGCGGCAAAAGTTAGAACACACAAGGTCAGACACTGGGCTGCAGCATTTAGGGAATGAACTAGGAATGAGTTTGCTATTAAAATTTCTTTCAGTTGAAGGAGCTTCAGATTTGGTCGATGGCAAAGAGTAAGAGTAGTTTCCACAATGCAATTAGACCAAAGCAATGAGTATGTCTGAATTCTCCTTAAACTACAAGGAGATACTGAATTCCTCCCAGTGGCAGCCTTCAGTACAAACGGAGGTGCTGGGTGTACCAGCTTCTACTCCAAAGGTTGTTCAGAAAATCTCTGAAGAAAGAAAAAGAAAGGAAGAAAATAATGTATGGTATGGGGTTTTTTAGGATTTTTTTTTTTTTGCAGATGTGGAGACCTGTGAACAAAGGATTGTGCCTTTGCTGACTATTGATGTGCATTATATGAAAGTCCTGGGAAAAATACTTGGTAATTTTCAGTGTGTAACATTCAGAGACTAACTATGGGTTCCTTTTATTGTCTTGCTTTAAACCCAGTGAATATTAATCAGCGACGTTCAATCAAAGTGAGTAAAACCAAGTTTACTTCATGCTACATATACTATAAATTATACTATCAATGTTAGGTCTGCTTTTCCAAAAGATAACATTAGCTCAGAGAAAAACACTGGAATATACAGTATACCTGTTGACTGCTGACTTAATGAACTCTACTCTCAGGACAGCAGTAACTTTTCTTTTGCTGCTCTCAATCTTTTTTTTTTTCTTGTTTCCAAGAACAGGCAGAGAATGCACGTTCTACAGAAAAAAAAAGAAAAAGGCAAAAAAAAAAGCACAAAATTTAGTTTAGCAGTTACCTAACACAAGCTTCACTCTAGCATTCCAGTTCTGTTCCTGTTCAGCAGAGTACTGAATAATGTACTTCATTTCATTTCTGTGGAACATATGTTAAGGTCTTGATGAAGTGTAGGGGCTGTGTAAAAGGCAGGCCAGTGTGAAAGTACAAAAATGTTCTCTTTCCCTGAATTACGCTTGTTTTCACCTCTGCCAAGCAAGTTAATAATAATAGATTTAAATACAGTTAATGGCATGAAAGAAGATCTAATTCAGTGCCTGGATTTTAATTCATGTTGCAACAAAGGTATATTCCATGATAAGAGTTAAAAGTTATTTAAAAAATTCAATTCATTTCAATTATAATCAGGGCAATATTGCTAAAGTTTAGCTGGCAATTGAAGTAACAGAACTGATTAATCACTATTACTGTGAATTTCCGTAATGAGTGGAGAACAGGGTCCTGAAATGTCATACCAACAGAGCCTGAAAAATATATTTTTTTAAATTCCTTATCAACATCAGTCTCAGTAAAAGTCAAGTATTTAATCACCTAAAATTAGTGCAGGCCATGATGTTTGTTGTCATTCCCTAGATTTGCTTAAAAAGATCACTTTTGAGAATTACTTGGCAAGGCTGTGTTTATTCCTCCTTTAAATGCAGCTGTGCTTCTGCTAGTTAGGATCAGCCAGCACAGAGCTGTGTGCAGGAGAAAGTCAAAAGGGCTCTAAAAGTAAGAACGATTCTCTGTTGTTAGTATATAGAGCGCAGTTTGGAAAAGGACATCACAAGTATCAGAATGCAGTACATTTGGAGAGA